CATCCTTTCTTGATCAAAACTCTTCAGAGTATAGGGATAGAGGGTACATACCTCAATATCATAAAAGCCATCTATGAAAAACCTACAGCGAATATCATTCTCAATGGGGAAAAGCTGAGAGCTTTTACCCTAAGGTCAGGAACGCGGCAGGGATGTCCACTATCACCACTGCTATTCAACATAGTATTAGAACTCCTAGCCACAGCAATCAGACAACAAAAAGAAATCAAAGGCATCCAAATCGGCAAAGAGGAAGTCAAACTCTCACTCTTCGCAGATGATATGATACTTTATGTGGAAAACCCAAAAGACTTCACCCCAAAACTGCTAGAACTCATACAGGAATTCAGTAAAGTAGCAGGATATAAAATCAATGCACAGAAATCAGTCGCACTCCTATACACCAACAACAAGACAGAAGAGAGACAAATCAAGGAGTCGATCCCATTTACAATTGCAACCAAAACCATAAGATACCTAGGAATAAATCTAACCAAAGAGGCAAAGGATCTGTACTCAGAAAACTATAAAATACTCATGAAAGAAATAGAAGACGACACAAAGAAATGGAAAAACGTTCCATGCTCATGGATTGGAAGAACAAACATTGTGAAGATGTCAATGCTACCTAGAGCAATCTACACATTCAATGTAATCCCCATCAAAATACCATCCACTTTTTTCAAAGAAATGGAACAAATAATCCTAAAATTTGTATGGAACCAGAAGAGACCCCGAATAGCCAGAGGAATATTGAAAAAGAAAAGCAAAGCTGGCGGCATCACAATTCCAGACTTCCAGCTCTATTACAAAGCTGTCATCATCAAGACAGTATGGTACTGGCACAAAAACAGACACATAGATCAATGGAACAGAATAGAGAGCCCAGAAATGGACCCTCAACTCTATGGTCAACTTATCTTTGACAAAGAATGTCCAATGGAAAAAAGACAGTCTCTTCAACAAATGGTGTTGGGAAAATTGGACAGCCACATGCAGAAGAATGAAACTGGACCATTTCCTTACACCACACACAAAAATAGACTCCAAATGGTTGAAAGACCTAAACGTGAGACAGGAGTCCATCAAAATCCTAAAGGAGAACACAGGCAGCAACCTCTTTGATCTCAGCTGCAGCAACTTCTTCCTAGACACACTGCCAAAGGCAAGGGAAGCAAGGGCAAAAATGAACTCTTGGGATTTCATCAAGATAAAAAGCTTTTGCACAGCAAAAGAAACAGTCCACAAAACCAAAAGACAACCGACAGAATGGGAGAAAATATTTGCAAATGACTTATCAGATAAAGGGCTAGTATCCAAAATCTATAAAGAACCTATCAAACTCAACACCCAAAGAACAAATAATCCAATCAAGAAATGGGCAGAAGACATGAGCAGACATTTTTCCAAAGAAGACATCCAAATGGCCAACAGACACGTGAAAAAGTGCTCAACATCGCTCGGCATCAGGGAAATCCAAATCAAAACCTCAATGAGATACCACCTCAGACCAGTCAGAATGGCTAAAATTAACAAGTCAGGAAACGACAGATGCTGGCGGGGATGTGGAGAAAGGGGAAACCTCCTACACTGTTGGTGGGAATGTAAGCTGGTGCAACCACTCTGGAAAACAGTATGGAGGTTCCTCAAACAGTTGAAAATAGAGCTACCATACGATCCGGCAATTGCACTACTGGGTATTTACTACAAAGATACAAATGTAGGGATCCGAAGGGGTACGTGCACCCCAATGTTTATAGCAGCAACGTCCACAATAGCCAAAGTGTGGAAAGAGCCCAGATGTCCATCAACGGAGGAATGGATAAAGAAGAGGTGGTATATATACACAATGGAATATTATGCAGCCATCAAAAGGAACGAGATCTTGCCATTTGCAACAACGTGGATGGAACTGGAGGGTGTTATGCTGAGTGAAATAAGTCAATCAGAGAAAGACATGTATCATATGACCTCACTGATATGAGGAATTCTTAATCTCAGGAAACAAACAGTGTTGCTGGAGTGGTGGGGGGTGGGAGGGATGGGGTGGCTGGGTGATAGACATTGGGGAGGGTATGTGCTATGGTGAGCGCTGTGAATTGTGAAAGACTGTTGAATCACAGATCTGTACTTCTGAAGCAAATAATGCAACATATGTTAAGAAAAAAGAAAAAGAAGAAGATAGCAGGAGGGGAAGAATGAAGGGGAGTAAGTCGGACGGGGAGATGAACCATGAGAGACGATGGACTCTGAAAAACAAACTGAGGGTTCTAGAGGGGAGGAGGGTAGGGGGATTGGTTAGCCTGGTGATGGGTATTAAAGAGGGCACATTCTGCATGGAGCACTGGGTGTTATGCACAATGAATCATGGAACACTACATCAAAAACTAAGGATGTAATATATGGTGATTAACATAACAATAAAAAATAAAAAAAAGATAAAGTGGAGAGTAAATAACAAATATCATGTTCAAACCAAAAATATAATAAAAATGAAATATAGTAAAAAACAAAACAAAAACTGGATTACCACAAGGATATACCACTTCATACCCCTTATTATAAGATGATTATAATAAAAAAGACAATAACAAGTTTTCGGCCAGAATGTGGAAAAATTGGGAAGCTCACACATGCTACAAATGTAAAATGGTGCAGTTGCTGTGGAAAACAACTTGGCCATTTCTCAGAAAGTGAAACACAGAGTTACCCACATGACCTCGCAATTCTGCTCCTAGGTATATACCCATGAGAAATGAAAACCTACGTTCATATAAAAACCTTTATATGAATGTTCATATTAGTGTTACTCCTAATACTCAAAAAGTAGAAACAACCCACATGTAATAGATTATTCAGCCATAAAAAAAGAGTTAACTATGGATATATCTTACAGCATGGATGAACCTACAGAATATTTTGCTAAGTGAAAGAAGGTAGACACAAAAGACCACATAGTATATCATTCCATTTATAGGCAACTGTGTAGAGACAGAAAGTAGGTTAGTGGTTGCCAGGGCTGGTGGGAGGGGTGATGACAACGTTCTAGAATTAGTGGCCATGGCTGCACAACTCTATGAATATGCTCAAACCCAGACTCAAAATATTAAGTTAATATTCTGGACACTTCACATGTCCTCATCTCCCTTCAGGCCACCACCTTCCCAAAAGGGTCCCCCAAAGCCTCTCCCACCTGCCTCTGGAGTCCGCAGCCTCTCCACGGCGGAGTGGGCTGTGGCTTCCTCACTTACTGCTGTAGAACACTGACCTGATTGTCAATCTTGAGCTCTGCCAGGCTTTCATTATCTCTCAGAGCATCAATCAGTGCTAGAATCCCAGCTCCTGTAATAAAGTTGGACTCCATATTTAAGCTCTTCAAAGTTTTGTTCACTTTCAGCATATCTGCAAAAGCCTAGAAATTAAAAGAAAAATATTTAGAGATAAAAACTGACACTACCTATCACATATTCTACCTGCCATAAACAAATACAATAATTAGCAGAACTGCTCTGATGCTTCTCATTAGATTGTTTTAGCTTGACACACCACCTCTCAGGCCTCACATCTATTTTTCACACATCCCCTGTCATGGTATTTAGATTTATCACATGTAATCCTCTGTTGGTAACATTCTCTGCTGCCAGTCACACTGTTATGTTCACTCATACCCTACTCCTCCTCCTTACTCCAGTGTCTCTCACACTTTCTCTCCATTCCTGTGTAGGACTAACTTCATCAAGGTCTCTGTGGAACATCTTTTCTTACTTGGGTCCTACTACAGCTGGGTTACTGTGCAGCCAAAATGAAGATAAATTATGGACTGATTTTCAAGGCCGAGATGGGAAGGGATGCCTAAGGCAGATGGCCAGAAATGCTCACAGGTTACCAGAACTTAGAGTCAAGTTAAAAGAAAAGGCAAGAGAGGAAAGAGATACTAGAAAGAACTTGGGACATATATCTATACATGTGTACTTTTCATTAGTGACAACCAGCTACGTGAAACAAATCCCTTATTCATCTATCTGTATATACGTTTCTTCAAACATTACTGGTGGTCAATTATTTGATTAAGTACTGCTCTGTAGATTTAGAAATAAAACATACAAGTTCCTGCCTGATGGAGCTTGTATTTTAGCGAGGAGATGGTAAAAAAAGAGCTATAGAGGAAGAAAATAGGGTAGACGGAGAGTGCTGGGGGCAGGGGTGGTCAGGAAAGGCCTCACCAGGAAGATCACAATGGAGCAATGACTCAAAGGGGTGACACAAAATGATGTGAAGTATCTTTAGGGAGAAAGTTCTAGGCAAGAGAAACAAGGAGGAAGGCCCTGCGTTCAGGGCATGCGTGGCACGTCTGAGGAAGGAGAATGAAAGAAAGGAAGGGCAAGTAATGGAGCCTGGCTGGCACAGCTGGTTGAGCGTCTGACTCTTGGTTTCAGCTCGGGTCCGATCTCGGTGTTGTGAGATCAAGCCCCGCATTAGGCTCCATGCTCAACAGGGGAGTCTGCTTGAGATTCTCTCTTTCCCTCTCCTTCTGTCCTCTCCTCTCTCTAAAATTATTAAAAAGAAAAAAAAAACGGGGCAAGTAAAGGATTATAAGACCACTGAAAGACGGTGATTTTTATTATTAGTCAGACGGGGAGCTGCTGGAGAGTTCTGAGTATAGGAATGAGGTAACTAAACAAGTTTTTAAAAAATCACTTTTGGGGGCGCCTGGATGGCTCAGTTGGTTACACATCCCATCTTCAGCTCGGGTCATGATCCCTGGGTCAGGAGATCAAGCCCCATGTGGCGCTCCCTGCTCAGCGGGGAGCCTGCTTCTCCCTCTGCCTCTGCCCTCCCGCCTCCATCCCAGCTCCTGCTCTCTCACTCTTGATCTCAAATAAATAAGTAAATCACTTTTGATGCTATGTAAACAAGCTGGTTTGGAGGTGGGAAAGATGGACACAGGCAGCTCAGTGAGGAGGCTAGTGCAAGAATCCAGATGAGAGCAGATACTGGCTTAGACTGACCGGCATGGTAGTTGAGAAAACGGTGAGAAATGGTTAGATTCTGGAATATCTGGAAGACAAGGCTGGCTATACATTTAAGGTTGTGAGAAAGGGAAGTCAAAGATAACTCCATTTCTTTTTGTCTTGAGGAAAGGAAAGGATGAAGTTGTCATTCAGTGAGACAGGAAAAAATGCGAAAGGAGCAGGTGTGGGGTGGAAGCCAGGAGTTTGGTTTGGGACCATATGGGATGTCTGTTAGACAGCCAAGCAAGGGATTGAGTAGCTGGGCATGAGCACATAGTTCAGGAGAGGGGTATGAACTGGGAATAACAATCCTGGGAATCCAAAGCATATACAGACCACAAATAGCAACAAGACAGAGTGACATCACCGAGAAAATGAGCACGGGCAAAGAAAAGAAGACCTAGGACTGAGCCCTGGGCCACTCCAATGCTTAGCGGTTGAGAAGATGTGGAGGGACCGGAGAAGGAATGTCTAGTGACGAGAGAGGAGAGTCAAAGGGAGAGATGTCCTCAAAGCCAAGTCATACAATGATCAAGTGGGATTTACCTCAGGAATGCAAGGCTGACTTAATATGCAAAAGTTAATCAATGTAATACACCGTATTAATAAAGTACAAAAACCACACGATCATCTCAAAACACACATTAAAAGCATTTGACAAAATCCAACACTGTAGATCCATAAATGGAATCCTCTGCAGATGTTAATGGTGTAGAACTTCATGTAGTAATATGAAAAGATCTCTAAGATATATTGTTCAGTGAAAAATTAAGTTACAAAACAGCATCTATTGCATGACTCCACTTATTTTTTTTTAAATTATAGGGAAAAAAATAAACATAAAAGAGTAAATAATGTATTGCCTAATAGTGAGCTAAACATCAATTGAAAAGAGAGTAAATATTGATCATTATATCGGCTGAGCCACCTCTGTAACATACCATAGTCACAATTTCACTATTATCAGTAGCAGCTTACTTACAACAGCGACAGGGTCATTGCTCCGTGTGGCCACAAGACTGAAATATTTCACGTGTGTGTTGGTTTCCAAAGCTTTTGCAAAATCTTTTAGGGTTGGAACTGGGATATTCTTGGAAGACAATCATGTGAAATATGACATTTTAGTTTTCAGGAAATTCGGTCCATTAGTCAAATATATTTGTACTTATTTTTCATTATTAAAAAGACTCAGAAATTATATAAATAAAACATTTAGTCTACAAAGGAAAACAAACAGCCTCCTTCATATCTATTCGATTTCTCGATTATGGTACATTTGCACAAACTGCTGACCTAGAGGAGAGTATATACCACCATTTCTCTAGCATTTTGATTAAAGAAACTTTCATTATTCTACACTTAAACTATTTGGATTATAAGACGTCAACACCTGGGTATTCAAAATGGGTCCTCTTTTCTACAAAGGGAGAGATGTCACTTAGTTTAAGCTGTAATAAGAGAGATTAACTGTACACTACCTAAAACAGTTCTAGAAGGCACTAATTTCTCCCTTTAGTACCAAGACTACAATTCCCTGTAGGCTGGTTTTCAGATTACCTGTTGATTTAGATATGTGAGGACTGAATTTTTTTTAAATCAAAATTAGTGATCAACTAGGAATGTTAGCTTTTTCCAAGGCTTGCTTTCTTCAGCTCATAGGAAGGAACACCTGCTAAAGGAGCACAGAGGTCTTATTCCCTAGGTTCTTATAATTCCCAGATGCTCTCTCAGCCCTCGATTCAGACAAATCAAGATTTAAAATGAGGAATTCTTAAAAATAAAATAGACGAGGAATTCTTAATGCAGCTATTATACAATAACCAATACTCAAGAGATAATCTGAATTTACTCTTTGGTAATTAATCATCCCTATGCCCTCCTAACTCATTTCTTCTTTACTCCAAGGAAGCATTGCATTTTTTAAAACTCAAGATCCCAGAAAGCTCACCACTTAGGTGTTTACTCCAGAGAAATGAAAACATATGTTCACATGTTCATATGTGTTTAACGGCTTTATTATAATCATTCCAAACCAGAGGGAATCCGTATGTCTATCAAGTGGTGAACAGATAAACAAATTGCAGCATATCTATACAGCAGACTACTACTCAACAAACTGCTGACATACACAACCACACAGATGAGTTATGCTAAGTGAAAGAAGCCAGACTCAAAAGGCTCATACGATATGATTCCATTTATAGGACATTCTGGAGAAGGCAAATGAGGGAAAGAAAACAGATACGAGTGGTCAGGGGCTAGAGCTGGGGGCAGAAAATGACAAAAAAGGGGACTGACATGTTCCACATCTATGGTGGTGGTTGTACAACTTCTGCATTGGCCAAAACTCATCGAACTGTACACTGAGTAGGCAGAATTTCCGTAGGTAGCAGAATCTGGTTCAATACAAGGAATACCTCAAGAAACTCGATTAAAAAAAAACAAAAAACCCAAAAGACTAAACGATCTTAGAAGTAAGCAGTACTGGGCGCCTGGGTGGCTCAGTCGTTAAGCGTCTGCCTTCGGCTCAGGTCATGGTCCCAGGGTCCTGGGATCAAGCCCCACATCGGGCTCCCTGCTCCGCGGGAAGCCTGCTTCTCCCTCTCCCACTCCCCCTGCTTGTGTTCCCTTTCTCGTTTTGTCTCTCTGTCAAATAAATAAACAAAATCTTTAAAAAAAAAAAAAAAGTAAGCAGTACTTTGGAAGCCAGAGAGATTTATGCTGACAGTCTGTAGGGTTTACATTTTCATATGATACTTTTTAAAAAGCGAGTCAGAAAAATATTATACTTTCTAAACTATAAAGGAAACGAAGCATACTGTTAGGAGCAAAAACTTTACCTTTAAGTAGAAATATAGAATCACACTTTATCAAAACTGCCCAACTCTCATCCTAGATCTAACTTACTTAAAGCAAGTCAAAACTTTGTTTGCTTAGCACACGTACCTTTATATTATTCAAATTAACTTCAACAAGACAAACATCATTTTCTTTAATTCTCTTTAAACTCTCTTCAACATTGGTTGGATTTGGTGGCTCATCAAATACTGGAAGAATCTTTTCACCTTTTACCACATCTGTAGTAACAAACGAAAAGAGCAAGAGTCTCACTGGCTGATACTATTACAGTGAATACATGCATGAACTTGATAATGCAAAGAACACACACATACATGCACGTTCAATACAACTAACCAGAAAGTTTTCCCCCACAGTTTCTAAAAGATCCTTTACATGTTAACACACACTTAAAGCACTCAAATAAAATGTTATCCTCTCGTATCATTTTCTCTTAAACTAGTAATTACTGTAAAGGCAATACGAATCACAGACTTAAAGAAACACAGCTTCAGTGAGGAGAATAAGGTGATGAAGGACACATGACTTCTTTCTCTTATGGGGAGTACTATGCCTGGGAAAAAGGAGAGGATGAGTAGGAACAGGGAAGGGGGAGTCAGACAGGTAATGGTACACAGAAAAGCTACCAAGACAGAAATCCCCCAAATTACTACCCTTCTTCACTCCTATCCCCCAATCCTTCACCATCTATACCACATCCATACACATGGCCAAAATACAACTAAGCAAAGCTGAAAGAGGACCCAAGAGCCTTGAATCCCCTAATGAAATGTAAGTACACTTTGATGTGTACGTGAAGGTCTATGAACACATGTAACAGGCAAACTTTAATGGATAAATTTTCTGGGGAGAAAACCTAAGCATCAGATTCATGGCAAATGACCAGAAAAAGTTAAGAGCAAATGACAGAAAGATCAACAGGGTCACTGTCTGGCTTAGTTCTTCCCTTCTACCCTCCTCTAGCTTTTAGGAGCAAAAGTCATCTTAAGATGAAGTATACTGGGGACGCCTGGGTGGTGGCTCAGTCGGTTAAGCATCTGTCTTCAGCTCAGGTCATGATCCCAGGGTCCTGCGATCAAGTCCTGCATCGGGATCCCTGCTCAGCGGGGAATCTGCTTCTCCCTCTCCCTCTGCTCTTGCTCTCCCTCCCACGGTCTCGCTCTCAAATAAGTAAAATCTTAAAAAAAAAAAAAGTCAAAGTATACTGAATAAATTCCCTCTAAGAGTACCTTGTTCTTTTCAAATTTATCACACACATGCACACATAGTATCCTGAGGAGATCAATTTAGACAACGGCCCGAAAATTATTTTCCTGAGGAACGTGGAAAGATCGGGATATATTTAGCCTGGATGTATTTATTAAAAGAAAGTATGTTCATTGTTTTCAGATTTATCCTGTAGAAGAAGAGAGATATTTCAAGTTGTTCTGAAAGAATAGGTATAGATTGCATGGGGGCAGAATTTGGTTCAATACAAGGATAAGCTTCCTACCAGAGCTCTGTTAAAGGGACAGAGTGGGCTCCCTCTCACCTAAGTTCAGCAAAGTAATGTTCTTCAAGATTGTAAATCAAGGGGGCTGGAGAAGAGCTTTCTCACTACAAAGAAAACTGAACGAGTTCTATCTCAGTTTTAAATTTTATAAAACCAAAAGATTTCTTTCCTCACTCCACAGAGTATGTGCATTTAAAGAGCACTGCTTCTAAATGAAGTAATGGATCCAGTAAATGGGATGCTGAAACCATTAAGAAAGGCTCATGGGAGACTTTAAATGATGGATCAGGCTGCTAACATTTGAACATACTGATGAATTTTGGCACATTCCCCAAAGAGCAATGACTAGACTTGATAGGCTTCCTAATGTGATTCAATCACCACCTCGGAAGCATTCTTGCCTTCCAAGCCCCCCCTAAACAAAAAAAACTGTACCTGAATCTGAATAAGCCACTAGAAAATAATAGTTTACACAAACAGACGAGACAGAGAAATAAGTAAGAGGATACCACAAGGGGAAGATGGTGGTAGAGCAGGAGGACCCTAAGTTCATTTTGTCCCACAGATACAACTAGATAACTATCAAATCATCCTAAATACCCCAGAAATTGACCTGAAGACTGGCAGAACAAAGTCCACAACTAAAGCCAGAGAAGAGGCCACGTCAAAAAAGGTAGGAAGTGTAGAGACCTGGTTTGGGAGAGAAACAGATCATGGCTGCTGCAGTGGGGAAGGAGCCGCAGTTGCAAAGAAGGGTGAAAGACAGACTAGCACACAGGGGAGCACATGGGAAAAATGACTCCCCATAGCAACTGGCCTAGAAAGTACGAGGGCCCTGAATTTCATGAGTTCTTGCAACCAGCGGGGCTTAAAGCCCGGAGTTTTAAAGGTCAGCGTACTTGGCTGTGGGAGACCTCAGCAGACTTTGGGGCTGCTCTTAGAGAGCAAGCAAGCAAAGAGTCTGTGGACATACAGCATGGAAACAGCAATCTGAGGAGTGCCTGGGGCACATAGTGGGGAGGTTAGCTCCTCATCTCAGAGTGTGACCCAAAGCAGCAGCATTCACAGAGAAACCTCTCAAGGAACAAAGGAACTGGTAGGTGCAATTTCCCTCCTCGGCCTCTCAGTGTAAGTACAGGGTCAACACTCACTACCTAACTTGCTTACACCAAGCCCTGCCCTCCATGCTCTGGCAGGTTCGCCCTTCCCTGTCATACTTGCTTCAATCCCAGCACAGCAGAACCCCTTCCCCAGAAGACCAGCCCAAATCCCTGCCAATACCAAGTCTCCCAACACGGGTGTTTTGTGAGGCCTCAGTTCCAGTGGTAGTGGTGACAGGTATCATTTCACAAGCAGATCAGAGCACATCTAGTTAAAATGTGCCACATTCAGGCAGGCACCAAATGCTGCCCACAACAGGCAAAGAGAATCTCTGCAGACGACTGGCCTGAAGGATAAAGAGGCTGGCGCAGAACAGCAGGTCGCATGCAGCACACACCGAAGACAATCCTAGAAGCACCAAGCCCTGGGGAACAGGGACACTATACAGCACGGCACTAACAGGACCTCTTCATAAAGCCATTACCCTCAAGAACAGGAAATGCAGCTGACTTTCCTAACACAGAGGAATAGGCACAGACTTAGACCAAACGAGAAGACAAAGGAATTTGTCCCAAATGAAAGAACAAAACAAGGCCACAGCGGGAGATCTAAGCAACACAGATATAAGTAACATGTCTGATGGAAAAATTAAAGCAATGATCATAAGGATACTCACTGGACTTGAGAAAAGAGTAGAGGACATCAGTGAGACCACTGCCATAGAGATAAGGAATAACAACACAGATAAAGAGCTCAACAAAATGAGAAACATGCTTGATGGAATGAAGAGCAAGATGGAAGAAGCAGAGGAATGAATTAATGACCTAGAAGACAGAGCAACAGAAAGTAATCAAGCTGAACAAAAGAGAGAAAAAAGAATTATGTAAAACAAAAACAGGGAACTCAGTGACTCCATCAAACATAACCTTCATATTATAGGGTTCCCAGAAGTAGAAGAGAGGAAAAGGGGGCAGAGAATTTATTTGAAGAAATTATAGCTAAAAACTTCCCTAATCTGGGGAAGGAAACAGAAATCCAGATCCAGGAGGCAGAGAGAGCCCCCAACAAAATCACCAAAGAAGGTCCACCCCAAGACATATTATAATTAAAATATATTGTGATATATAGTAATTAGTAATATAGTGATAAAGAAAAAAATATTAAAAGCAGCAAGACAAAAGACAGTTACACTACAAAGGAAACCCCATAAGGCTATTGGGATTTTTCAGCAGAAACTTTTCAAGCCAGAGGAGAGTGGCATGATATATTCAAAGTGCCTAATGGGAAAAACCTGCAGCCAAGAATACTCTATCCCAGAAAGACTATCACCCAGAACAGGAGAGAGAAAGAATTTCCCAAACAAAAACTAAAGTTCATTAATATTAAACTTGCCTGGCAAGAAATATTAAAGGGGACTCTGAGTGGAAAGGAAAGACCAAAAATGATAGTATGAAAGTATGAAACACAAAAGCAGTAAAAATGAGTATTTCTGTGTAAAAAAAAAAAATCAGTCAAGGAACACACTAAATAAAAGAATGTAAAATATGACATCATATGCCTAAAACGTGGGGAGGAGAGGAGTAAAGAATGGGTTTAAACTTAAACAACCATCAACTTAACATAGACTATATGCAGATGTTATATACCTAATAACCACAAATCAAAAACCCCTAACAGATATGCAAAGAATAAAGAGAAAAACCCAAATATATCACTAAAGAAAACCAGCAAACAGTGAAAGACAAGAAATGATCAGAGAAAATCTTCAGAAAGAACCACAAAACAAGTAATAAAATGGCAATAATACATATCTATCCAATAATTACTTTGAATGTAAACAGACTGTTCCAATCAAATAATTACTTTGAATGTAAATAGAACGTTCCAATCAAAAGACAGTTACAGAATGGATAAAAAAGCAAGACCCATCTATACACTACCTAGAAGAGGCACATTTTAGACTTAAAGACAACAGTAGATTGAAAGTGAGAGGATGGAGAAACACTTATCATGCAAATGGATATCAAAAGAAAGTTGGAGTATCAGTACTTATATTGGATAAAATAGACTTTTAAAACAAAGACTTAATAAGAGACAAAGAAGGACACTACATCATGATAAAGGGAACAGCCCAACATGAAGATATGACAAGTGTAAATATTTATGCCCCCATATACACAAAAGTCATTAACAAACATGAACTAATCAATAACAGTACAATTATGGTAGGGGACTTTTACACCCCACTTACATCAATGGACAGATCATCTAAACAGAAAATCATCAAGGACACAATGGATTTGAATGACACACTGGATCGGATAGACTTAACAGATATATTTGGAACATTCCATCCTAAAACAGCAGAATACACATTCTTTTCAAGTGCAGACAGAACATTCTCCAGAATAGATCCCATATTAGGCCACAAAACAAGCCTCAACAAGTCCAAAAAGATCGAAGTCATACCATGCATCTTTTCTGACCACAATGCTATGAAACTAGGAGTCAACCACAAGAAAAAAATCTGGAAAGACCACAAATACATGGAAGTTAAATAACATGAAAACATGCTTATCAGCACTCATCATCAGGGAAATGCAAATTAAAACTACAATGAAATATCACCTCACACCTGTCAGAATGGCTAAAATCAAAACCACAAGAAATAACAAGTGTTAAAGAGGATGTGGAGAAAAAGGAACCCTCCTCTTGCACTGTTGGTGGGAATGCAAACTGGTGCAGCCACAATGGAAAACAGTATAGGGGTTCCTCAAAAACTTAAAAATAGAACTACCACATGATCTAGCAATCGCACTACTGGGTATTTACCCAAAGAATACAAAAGCACTAATTCAAAGGGATACATGCACCCCTATGTTAATGGCAGCATTATTTACAATAGCCAAGATATGGAAGAAACCTAAGTGTCCATCCATAGATGAATGGATAAAGAAAACATGGTATATACATACAATGGAATATTACTCAGCCATAAAAAAGAATGAGAGCTTTCCATTTGAAACAACATGGATGTACCTAGAGGACATTATGCTAAGTGAAAGAAATCAGATAAAGACAAATACCGTATGATTTCACTTTTATGTGGAATCTAAAAAACAGAACAAACCAACCAACCAAACAGGCTCTTAAATATAGAAAACAAAGTAGCTGTTGGCAGAGGGCAAAGCGGTGTGGAGAAAGGCAAAATAAAGGGGATTAAGACGCACAAACTTTCAGTTATAAAACAAGTCACAGAGATGAAAAGTAGAGCATAGGGAATACAGTAAATAATATAATAATAACATAATAATATTGTATGATGACAGATGATGATTACATTTACTGTGGTAAGCACTGAATAATGCACAAAATTATTCAATCGATATGCTGTACACCTGAAACTAATATAACACTATATGTCAACTACACTTCAATAATAAAAATCATAAGAAAATCATAAGGAAAATACATTTACAGTACTATACTGTAATTATCAAAAAGAATCCATGCATAAGATCACATTTCACACATTTCAAACCCGTGTTAAGGGTCAAAAGTAATATAATTATTAAAAAATTAAGTTACCAGAAATAGCTGCAGTGTGATCCCATTTTTGTAAAAAACAAGACTATGTTAATATGTATGTATGTATATAACATGCATGTACATATGTATATATATAAGTTTGTATGAACAAAATATGAGTCTAGAAGGATATACACCAAATTGTTAACAGGTTGGGGGTGGGGGGAGCAGACGGCACGATGGCTATGAACAGAGACACTTTTACGTCTTACCTCATTTACTTAGGTATTGTTCAAATGTGTTACAAAAGTATGTATTACTTTGCTCCTTTTAAAACATCCTATAAATGAATTTTTTTATTTTTTTATTTTTTTTAAGATTCTATTTATTTATTTGACAAAGAGAGAGCAGGAGAGCACAAGCAGTGGGAGCGGCAGAGGGAGAGGGAGAAGCAGACTCCCTGCCTAGCAGGGAGCCCGATGCGGGGCTCAATCCCAGGACCCTGGGATCATGACCCGAGCTGAAGGCAGTCGCTTAACCAACTGAGCCACCCAGGTGCCCCTAAATGAATTTTTTTAAAAAGCCTTGCCTTAGGCTATTTAATATCAGTATCAGATTAAAAGGTTTAGGGATTGAGTGGTTCTGTGGTTTCTCCTGAATGTGATTTTATAACATAGTTTGTCAGCATTTTTTTAGATTTCTTGAAAATCAGTAACATTGAAAATAAAAAGTCGGGATGCCTGGGTGGCTCAGTCGTTAAGCGTCTGCCTTCAGCTCAGGTCATGATCTCAGGATCCTGGGATCAAGCCCCACATCGGGCTCCCTGCTCAGTGGGGAGTCTGCTTCTCCCTCTCCACTCCCCCTGCTTGTGTTCCCTCTCTTGCTGTGTCAAATAAATAAAATATTAAAAAAAGAAAAAAAGAAACGAAAATGTCAACAAAAGCCAAGTTTGATTAGTTTTTTATAGTTTACCATTAGTATTATTTGGTGAGGTGAGAGTGGTTCCAATTACGTTTGCTGACACATTCAGAACAAAATATTTAGGGGCCCCTGGGTGGCTCAGATAGTTAAGCATCTGCCTTTGGCTCAGGTCATGATCTCCAGGTCCTAGGATCGAGCCCCACATCAGACTCCTAGCTCAGTGGGGAGTCTGCTTCTCCCTCTCCCCCTGCTTATGCTCTGTCTCTCAAATGAGTAAGTAAAATCTTTAAAAATAAAATAAAATATTTAATATTCTATTTTCAATGGTTTTCTACACCAATACTATCTAATTGGAATCTCAGGTTTCAAGTACATATACAAAGGATTTGGTATGTATATACCGAAGTTCATACATGGAGAAAACAAAATACATTTAACAAAGGATTGAAATTCACAATGGATTACAAGTACTTACTTGAAAAATGTTCTTGGTCGACACCATTACTACTTCCCACTATATCACATAACTGGACATTCGTTATCAAGTTGTGCATCCCAAGAATAGCTATAAATATAGAAAAAGAAAGTTATTTTTATTTCCATCAGTTTCAAACACAAAGAATTGATTTTACAACCAAAATTTTCTGATTTTAACATTTTCTGAACATTTTCCTACTGAATTAAATATCGATTTTGCAGCCAAAAAAGAGACAGTGTCTCCTACAATCTTTCTCATTAATACCCCTATTACTTCCCCCCTTATTTGGGATTTAGATTTCCCCACATTTTTGAATTCAGACACACAACTAAAGCCAGCCTGACCCTAAATGTAAATCTATACTTAGCTCCATCTGGTGGCTAAGAGAGAATACTGCAATGATCTATTTTTGTTGTTCATCCTTCTCACAAAGGGTTCTAGGAACAGTGCGATATAAGGCAGATTTTCAACTTCACCATTATTTCTACATTTGTTAACCTGTTCATTTACATTCATATTTTAGCTAAGAGTAGAATACCAAAAATATAGCTGAATTCTCATCTTTAAGATTAAAGTAGCATCCCTCAAAAACGACAGGAGAGAGAAATTGGGGTTTCGGTTTTGATGCTCTTTTGCACACATGTGGCAGAAGCTACAATATGTCCCTGGTCCATTCCACTCTGATGAAAGCACCATCTACAAATTCAACAGTCATCAGCATCCCAAGGAATGAGGCATCTGCTCTGGCTGTAGCACCACACATTGATTGTCCCTTTCCTGGGTCCTTCCCAAAGAACCATCATTCAAACATGTTAGCTTTTGGGGTTCCTTGGTGCGAAGATATCCCCATGTGTCATATTCTTCTACCTAGGTAAATGGGTGCATGCAGAGGAAGGTTGGGGAGATACTGGCCAGATAAGAAACCAGCAACTATGAAAATAACAAGGAGGTTTAGAGTGTTCTAGATATATGTCAGAAAGTAGGGAAAGGGGTGAGAATAGCTCAGAACTATTTCATCTGCTTTCCAGTTACTCAACTTGGGGGAGGGGGTCTTCCTTTTCTTCCCCAAAGTTTATTTTATTTATTTTTAGTAATCTCGACACCCAAGGTGGGGCTCAAACTCACAACCCCAGTATCAAGAGTTGCATGTTCTTCTGACTGAGACAGCCAGGTGCCCCTCATCTTAGGGACTTCTGATAAAATGGGACAGCAATCGACCCTGGAAACTCTTTTTCGATGCTTAGATGGGACAGCTTCTAGCTGTGCACCAACTAGTAAAAGGTTTTTAAAAAGACTTTCAAATATGGTAACATGGGAAAAGTAGTCAAATAATACAATACATTCCATTAACATAAAAATTTCACCACTGAGAGCATTTTAAAAAATAAAATCCTTTATATCAGATTTATAGTGTAAAAAACAAAACCAAATATGTGGTCTACTGATTCAATAGTACTTTGCTAGGCAAAGGAAGCATCTGTATGATGTATGTGCTGGCATTCCCTTCCCCTCCCCTCCATACTCATTCACTCATTTGTTTTAGGAGATACCTGCAAGGTCACACAATTCTGTATCAGAAGCACTTGTCAAAGCTTCTTCTAATTCTGGATCAAGAGATACTTTTTCTTCTGTGAAAGTCTGCATAGGCTTCTGTTTAGGGATAAATATTTTCCCTGTAAAATAAAGCAGTTTGTTAATTCCAATACTACTACTATGAATTAACTCACTACCATTTTACTCTTTTTAACAAAAATTATGAGAAGTATGTACAACTGAAGCTGAAGGAAAAAGTCAAGATAAACACCTACAATAATGTTGTTTCATCTTCAATATGTATTTCAAGTTTCCAGGGCAATATTGTGGCTGTACAAGTTGGAATGAAGAAAAAAAAATTAACTGAGAAATTGTCCTATTTGTGAAAATAAAAATAGGCTCTTTTTGGAGTAATTATGAGTTACTCAACAAATACTGAATTAAAAGATGAATGTAGGAATAAATTTTAGAAATCTGTAAAACTTTAGAGATTAAAAAAAACAACAGAATCCACTTTCTTACTCTTAAGCAACAAACTGTTAGCAGAAGCAACAATCTAAGTTTATGATTCCAGAAATTCAAGATCTAATTGCAAAGAAATTCCTGTATGTCCTAACGGGTATTCTGAAACTTTAGGTCACTGTTTTAAGCCTTGATGGACACTAATTAAGGCTGGCTGTTAAAAAACAGGTTTTTAGAAAACTAAAATCTTTATGTGAAAATCAGTATTTTATTACCATATGTTCAATGCAAGATTGAAAACATGAAGGGAATGGAAAATGATAATGATATAACTGCAGCACAAGCTGATCAAACAAGACATACTCACACATGGTGGGGACTAGGTTACCAAGAATGCCTCTGATTTCTCTCCCAAGTCAAAAGTCTTACTAAATATGATCTAGAAAGGTCTATGCATAGATTCACAGAAGTGCCAATTATTTTCTCTTCTATTAGGAAACTACCAGGGAAATATGCAAGAATATTTGGCCTGATGAATCTATGCAGTGCTCTATCAAAAGAATGTCTGTGGGTTTATAATTAGTATAGCGAGTGTTGTGTACGTCTTATTCAAGGTACATATCAATCAGTGTAACCAAAAGGAATCCTTCCACAATACAGACTGCTTCTAGCAATCTGGCCAAAACTGTTCAGCTATTTTCTGCTAAGCCGTCTAAAGGATCTTAATTTCTGATATATATTTTTTTCTTTTTTTTATTATGTTATGGTAATCACCATACGTTATATCATTAGTTTTTGATGTAGCGTTCCATGATTCATTGTTTGTGCATAACACCCAGTGCTCCATGCAGAATGTGCCCTCTTTAATACCCATCACCAGGTAACCCATCCCCCCTATTATATGTTTTTTATGGTGAACATTTCCATTTGGTTATTAAAAAATTAGTTTCCACATCTCTGCTGAAATTCCTCATTTGTTTACGCATGCTGTGTACCTTGTCTGCTAGATTCTTTGGCATTTTTGTCATAGTTATTTTGAAGTCCCTAGCTGATAACACCAATATCTGGGTCATGTCTAAGGCTTATATTGACTGTCATCTTCTTGAGTATGGGGAATATGTGTCTTAAGATCTTTGCATGCTAGGTGTTTTTGTATAAAAGTACAGCAGAGACTGAAGGAAATGATATTTCTTCTTAGAAGCATGCCCTCTAGTCAGGGCTGAATCAAATATGCTCTACAGTTGAGTTAAATCTGGGCTTTGTCACAACTTCAGTTTGAGTCAGTTCCTCACTGGCTTCAAACACTTTGAATATAAGATCAGGACTTTCTCTTCAGTAAGGCCTCGGATTATAACCCTCATGAGGTTCTGGAGATCTCCTGTGCTCCCTCCTTTTTTTGAACTGTGAACTGTGAGGGATTTCTACTAATATGTAGCCCAGGCTGCCAGCTTTCTGGATGGCTTTTCCAGTCCCACCCCCTGATTTTTGGGCTTTGGCAGATCTCTCAGACCCTCTCATCTTATCTTCTCTACACTCTGTGAAGTTGGGGTTGGCCTGGAAAGGATTTCTCCCAGCCCTCCTGCCTCTCCTTCAGTCTCTTCCAGCTGAAAACCTATGCCTCAGGAATTTTCTCTCAGCTCTGCTTCACTGCCCTTTTTCTTCTAGTATCGTTAGCACTAAATGAAGAGCTGAAGAAAAGAATGGGGGGTAGTGCAGTCTTACCATCTCTAAGGCTGCACTGCCCAATATGGTAGCCACTAGCCACATGTGATTATTTAAATTTAAATTAAAATCAGAAAATCAGTTCCTCAGTCATACTAGGCACATTTCAAGTACTTGATAGTGACATTTGGATAGCACGTAGCTACCACACTGTTTAGCATAGACATTGAACATTTCCATTATGGCAGAAAGTTCTAGTGGGCAGCACTGCTGTAGGGCTTCTCTGGATTTCTCACCTATCATCCAGTCCATACACAGCCACTAAAAGTTTGTTAAAGTTAGGCTGATTTCTCCTGACTCCTTTCTATGGTGGTCTTCTCCCTATATTTCAATCAGTAAAAAGAGAAGTGGCTCACTGATCTAACGGAAGGCTTATCACTTTCTAGAGTCATTTAGGTTTGTGTCCTCAAGCTCTATGATAGGTTTTTAAAAACTATAATAATGTACTTATACTGCTTGTTTGGGTTAGTACGGAAGAACAATAGTCTCTTGCAACTTTCTACATCCGAGTTAGAAGTCGTTCTGGTCAAGTATTATTTAACAAATGGTGTTTGGTCAATCCACAATGTATCTGTATTAGTAAGGATGTTTTTAACTGCATGTAATAGAATGCTCAATTAAAAGTGGTTTAAACTGGTGCTTCTCAGGCTTTAATGTGCACCTCACTCACCTGGTGATCTTACTAAAGTACAAATTCTGATCAGTAGGTCTGACATGGGATCTGAGTTTCTGCTTCTAACTAATCTCTGAGATGATGCAGATACTGATCCATAGACCACTTTTAAAGCATCAAGAGTTCAAATAGTAAGTATTTTTATAATCTCAGTTAGGTCCACATGTAGGTGGTTGCAGGGTTGGTTCAGCAGCTCTCAGTGTTGACATCAAGGATCCAGGGTCCTTCCATTCTTCTCTTTGGCTACAATCGGCATAAAGGCCTTTGTTCTCAGGCCATCAGTCTCAAGATGACCTTTGCAACACTAAGTATCAAGTCCTCATGCAACAAGGTCAGGGCAGGAAGGAGGGGCATAATTTTTATAAGGAAATCTGTTATAAGGAAAACTGTCCAGATTTCTCCTCAGGCTTCTCTGACCTGCACTGGTCATAGGTCCAGCTGCAAGGGCAGCATTGTCATTCTATTTCAGAGATAGGTTCTGCCAGTAAGGATGAAGCGATTTATGAACTGATACTGAATGGGAAGCTATAGTGTGTGTTCGGTACTGAACTGGATGCAGTACAGCTCTGTGCTCCCTTGATTCCCTGAACATTCTGCTACAGCTACACAGATTCTACATATTTGTCTGTCTTTTGTGAGCTTTACAAAGACATGGTTTATGTTCTCCGTTTATCGCTACATCGTTGTCTAGTGCACAGCAGGCAAGCCAATTTGTTGAATAATTAGTTGGGTGATCACCTCCAGTTCAACTACATCATTTTATAAAGTATAACTTAAATACCCTGGCTCAAAGTTACAGAGCAGAGTGAACACTAGAACACAGGCTCCCAAACTCTTAATCCAGTGCTTCTTCCAATAAACTGGTAGCTTTCAAACTTAACTTTTGTAGCAGTGGACTTTTCCCCTCAAACAAATACCTATGTATATGATGGTATCCATAACTGATCTTCTTGGTACCAAATTTTGGAGTTCTGATGATCATTAGATAATCTTTTATTATTGGTTCACAAAAAAAAAAATGAAGTTTAATATTATGAGTACAAAACCCAAGGAGACCCCCCAAATCCAAATCATTACATCCTGATAACTCCATAGTACTTTTCTTAGTGGTTGACAGTATGATTTTTTTTTTAAGTTTTATTTATTTATTTGATAGAGCACAAACAGGGGGATAGAGGGAGAAGAGCAGGCTCCCCGCTGAGCAGGGAGCCCAATGTGGGGCTCAATCCCAGGACCCTGAGATCATGACCCGGGCTGAAGGCAGATGCCCAACAACTGAGCCACCCAGGCACCTGGGTTAACAGTATAATTAAAGTGGCATAGAATTCATGCCTTTAATTGTCATTTCAGGATAATTACATTTTCCTCAGCTCAGTCTCACCTGCATTTTCAACAGTCTAATGCAGGGGTTCTGAAGATTGGCTGCACAATGGATTCACCTGGGGAACTTTAAAAAATTCTGATGTCCAAGTCCCAGGGATTCTGATTTAATTGATCTGGTGTGCTATATGAGACATCTGGATTTTTAAAAGCTCCCTAGGGATTCTAACGCATAGCAGTCAAGGTTGAGAACCACTAGGTTACGGTATTCACTTACTAAACAAAACTACACAAGCTATCAAATAGCTGCCCATGTCTTGTACTACGGACCAATGGAATCTAAAGCATCATAAAAATCTAAAATGTTTATTTTTGTTATCCTCATCTACATTCCATAGAGGCATTATTCATATCTAATTTTTACCATACATAAACTTTTGCTAATACTTACAAAAACAGAATGAATCTCATCATAAAAAAACAACAAAGCAAAACAACAAAATTTCAAAGGGCTTATGGAAATATTCCTGTGATACAGAATTTTACTGTTAATTTATACAGCTCTGAGACAGTTTGGTACCTCACCTGGCGCTCCTCTTTATAATAAATTCTCTGTATATAGACATTTTTGTTGTAGAGGTACTTAGCCTATACAATTATTTTAACAATATGAAAAGTAATTATATTTCTTCATGGTTAGTTTAACACTAACACTGTAACAATGGTCTTTTAATGCATATAAACTAAATCTATTTATAGAAAACTAACAGTAAGGAAACTTAATTTTATGAGAGGATAAACTAGGTAAAAATGAAGTTTAATATTATGAGTACAAAACCCAAGGAGACCCCCCAAAATTAATTTATAGACTTAAACAATCCCTTTCAAAATCTCAGCTGACTTTTTTGCAGAAAGTAACAAGGTAATGTTAAAATTCATGGAAATTCAAGAGACCCAGGACAG